CGGGGTCCTGGGATTGAGCCCTGCATCGGGCTCCCTGCTCCACGGGGGACCTGCTTCTCCCTCTGCCTGCTTCTCTCTCTCTCTCTCTGACAAGTAAGTAAAATCTTTAAAAAAAATATTTTTTGTAGTTCAGGTCTATAGGTGTTACATACTCTCAGCTTTTGTTTGTCTGAAGAAGTATTGTGTTTTTGGAAGGATATTTTCTCTGAGTATATAACTCTAGATTGGCAGTGTTTTTGTTTTGATTTGTGTATTTTTTGTTTTTAGCACATTAATGATGTCCTTGCTTTGTCCTCTGGCTTGAAATTGTTTTCTGACAGGAATTCTGTGGTTATAGTTATTTTTGTTCCTCTGTTTGTAAGGTTTTTTTGGATAATTTTAGTATTTTTTTATCACTTTTTCAGCAGTTTAGTTGTTATGTGCTCATTCTGACTTCCTTTGTGTTTTTCCTACTTAGGTTTCATTTAAATTCCTGGATTTGTGAGTGTATTAACTTTCCTTCAAATTTGCAAAAATTTCAGCCATTACTCTCTCAAATATACTTTCTGTATCACTCTCTTTTGTTGATACTGTCTCATAGGTTAATTTAATTTTGTTTTTTTTTCCTGTTTCAATTTGGATAGTCCTATTGCTGTATTTTCAAGTTCACTGACATCTCTTCTGATGTTAAGTCCATCCAATGAGTTTTAACTTCAAATAATTTATTTTTCAACTCTAGAAATACCACTGGGTTATTTTTTTTGTAACTTCTCGTCTTGTCAATATTCATGTTTTTCTTTAAATCCATGAGCATACTTATAACAGCTGTTTCTTAAAGTCATTGCCAGATCCATCATCTTTGTCATTTATGGGTATAGTTCTATCAACTGATTTGTTTCTGGGTATGGGTCATGTGTTCCTGCTTCCTCACAAGCCTTGTAACTTTTTTATTGAGGTGAAATTCACATAAAATTAACTACATTAAAGTATACCTCTTAGTGGCATTTGGTACATTCACAATGTTACGTAACCACTATCTCTATCAAGTTACAAAACATTTGCATCACCCTAAAGGGAACCCTGTTTCCATTAAGCAGTCACTACCTACCCCCTTCTCTCAACTCCTGGAAGCTGCCAATCTGCTCTCTGTCTCTGTGGACTTACCTATTATGAATGTTTCATATAAGTGGAATTGTGTATGTGATCTTTTTTTTTTTTTAAAGATTTTATTTATTTATTTGACAGAGAGACAGCGAGAGAGGGAACGCAAGCAGGGGGACGGGAGAGGGAGAAGCAGGCTTCCCGCAGAGCAGGGAGCCCGATTCGGGGCTCGATCCCAGGACGCTGGGATCATGACCTGAGCCGAAGGCAGACGCTTAATGACTGAGCCACCCAGGCGCCCCGTGTATGTGATCTTTTGTATGTGACCTCTTTTGCCTAGCAGTGTCTCTGAGGCTCACCATGTTGTAATATGTAGCATGCACTTCATTCCTTTTTGTGGCTGAATTATATTCTACTGTATGGATAGACCCCATTTTGTTTATCCATGCATCAGTTGGTGGACATTTGGGTTGTTTCCACTTTTTGGCTTTTGTGAATGTTAAGAACGCTTGTATGCAAGTATTTGTTTGAATACCTGTTTTCTGTTCTTTTGGGTACGTACCAGAAGTGGAATTGCTGGATTGTATGCTAATTCTGTGTTTAACTTTTTGAGGAACTGCCAACTATTTTCTGCAGCAGCTGCACCATTTTACATGCCCACCAGCAGTCAGTGAGAGGTCCAGTTTCTCTCCATCCTTGTGAAGACTTGGTGGTGGTGGTTGCTGTTGTTATTATTACTGCAGTCATCCTCGTGAGTGTGGAGTGGTATCTGGAGAGGCTGTGTTGAGGCCACAGGCTTGAGCACTGGAAACCTGCGTGAGGTAACCGGGCCCGCCACGACCACGAGACTGAGTGCAAACAGGCTCATTAGGCGACCTACCTCAAAACAGCCATAGGCCCTCGCTGACCAATGGGCCACTGACAACCAGGCACAGATACCAAAAAGGGAAAATTCCATATGTTTCTATACCTTCTCACTCCCCTCCAATAAATACAGCCCCCCCCCCACTCTCCCACCCGCCTCCCGGCAGTCTCTCTCCTTGCTGTCCTGCCCGCTGCTCCCTTGTGGTGTGGTCAGTACCCTTCTATCTCCTTTGTTCTGTCTTTGCCCACACTGCCTGCCTCCACCTGATCCATTCGCCTCACAGTGTCTCATGTATCTTTGATTGCATTTCCCTGATGATTAATGATGTTGTGCATCTCTTCATGTGCTGTTGACCATTTGCATATCTTCTTTGGAGCTATGTCTATTCAAATTCTTTGCCCATATTTTTAATTGGGTAAATCTAGTCACTTTTTTTAAAGTAGGCTCCACACCCAGTGTGGAGCCCAATACAGAGCTTGAACTCACAACCCTGAGATCAAGACCTAGGCTAAAATCAAGAGTTGGAAGCTTAACCTACTGAGCCACCCAGGCACCCGAAATCTAGTAACTTTTTATTACATTCTGGATGCTGGGTATTCTGAATTTTATGTTATTGAGTGTTGTTTTGTTGGTGTTTCCCTTTAAAGAATGTTGAAGGTTTTGGCCTGCAGTTAGGCTATGTTTGTAGCATCTTGTTCCTTTTAAGGCTTGTTCTCCACACACACGATGGGTGTGGAATAGGCTTTAGTCTAGAGCTAGTTTAGTCATTTTATTGAGATGTGGCATGTCTGGGGTCTCTCCTGAATGCTTTGGTGGCTGCTTGGCACTTAGTGACCTCCCTGCCAAAGTGAAATCTGGAAATTGTTCAGCAACACCACCAAGCCTCTGCCCCCCGCCCCAACCCCACCACCAAGTTGTTCTTTCCATGGACTCGATGCCAGCAGGCTGGGTCTGAGGAACCAGGGGGTCCTGCAGGACCAGCCAAGATGGTCCTTGGCTTCATGGAGGATAGAAATCAAACATGAGCCAGCAGGAAGTGAGAGCAGAGATTATTGAAGATAGAGAGCAGATACAGACAGAGCATCTGGGAGACTCAGGAAGGAAAGGAGCATGAGTCTAGTCTTTGGGGAAGGGGGTTTTTATCAAGGATGGTGGTCTGGTATACTTGTCCCCTCAGGCATCCAGGAACTGGTCAGAACAAGATGAGAGAGAGCTCAGGTGGTGTTCCTGGGAGCCAGGAGGCCTCGGCAGGGAGGTGCTGAGCACTAGTGGTCTGGAATATGCATGTAATGACTTGTCTGGTCATTCCCACCTGGTCCTTCCTTAGATGCTCTCTGTTCTAGAGAAATCACCAACTCTTTGTCCCTTACAAGGAGGACATGCACTACTTGTATTCTGAGGCCTGTGTGAAGTGGGGGTGCAGGCCCTAGCAAGAATCCAAGCAGGAAATGGAGCAAAAAAGCAGATTTTTATGGAGTCCTTGAGTTTCCCTGTCTCAGACTGGTGGAAATTTTCCCTCATCCCTCCCTGACACAGGGCTGGTACTGAAGTCAAGAGGTTGTTTGTTCCTGGTTTCCCAAGAACGCAGTTGTGCACTGCTTGTTGTCCAATTTATAGAAAGTTATTTTGCATATTTTGTCCAGTTTTCCAGCTGTTTACTGGGGGAGGGCATATTGTCCAGCCCTGGATACTCTCTGGGGACCAGAAGGCCAGTCTCTCCCACCTTGCTTCTCTCCCTTGCTTATTCTCCACGGCCTCCAGCTTTATATGGAGATGCAACCATGTATTTACGGTGTACGATTTAAACAACCTAGATATAAGTATACACCCTTGAAAGCTTCACCACAACTGAACATTTCTATTACCTCTGAAAGTTCCAATGGCTCTCTCCCTCTGGTCCCCCCAGGGGGCCATCCCTGAACTGTAGATAGCATTTTCTGCAGTTTTATATAAATGGGTTCATACAGTGAACTCTTTTTTTTTTTTTTAAGATTTTATTTATTTATTTGAGAGAGTGAGAATGAGAGAGAGAG